GTTGAGGAGCTTGAAGCCAGTTCTGAGATAATTGAGGCTGTTGCTGTTGCTGAAGTAGATGATGAGGATGACCATGATGATCTTGAAATCTAAATGAAAATAGTACCACTTCAGTAAATTAAATGGTTGCTTATACTATCCAGCACAACACCTAGCAATAAAAGTATTTTTTATTAAACATTTCTATCATGATTAAGACTACATTCAAGAAACGCAGTTCTAATTGACTTACTCTTGTTTAATCACGCATGTTGTTGATGATGTTGTTGTTACATGTCCTCCTTGAACTGTTAATTGTTGTGTACCAACGACATCGTGAATAGGTTGCTGAGATTGTTGTCTAAGAAATTGTGTAGTTATGTCTTGATTATTATCATTATTATTTGATATTTGTACAAATGGTGATTCATTGGGCAAATCAAAGTTTGTAGTCGATGTTATAATCGTCTCTGTAGGTAAGATAGTCGACGTGAGAGGTATTTGTTGTTGTTCCGATTTGGCAGGTGATGGCTTTGGTTGATGAGCAGCTAAAACAGTTGATTCCATCATTTCTCGCGCTAAATTACTAATAATCTGTTTGGAATTGTCACCAATCGAACCGCCACTACTAGATGAAGATGGAACACCTATTGATGAAGAGTTTGTATTCGTCGTAGTGGTCGCACCACTATTTGTATTTCCAATAAGATCGACGGCTAAAGATGAATAGAAAACGTTTGTTAGACAAATCTGGATTGTCACTAAAAGTTGCAACTTCTCATTCAATATAGCGTTTCCATTTACACTAATCCGACATATGAATTCGACCCTTCTAAGTTCCAGAAAGAACTCTGTGGCACATTTTCACTTATTTCAATATTAAAACTCTCACCTTGCAATACACCATGTGCTTCTGGATTAACGATAAAATCAAGAAATTCTTCAATATCGGATGCTGGACCTACAATATGGCAAAAGCCAATTAACTTTTCACAATCTTCGTTTTTGTCTAAAATTATACTCACATAGTGGTAATAGTGGATCTTGAGTTGTCGTTCTTGACGTATCCATGAAATTAATGAAATTATAAAATTCTTCATTATCCAATATAT